AAAGTCCTTGAAATGAGGAATTTGAAGCATCAGGAGAGAAGGAATTGAGAAATAACCAGTTGGCTTGTCATGTGAAACCCAGCCTTCTGGTTAGCTTCAGCACAAGTGTTGCAGAGATGTAGGCAGACGGATGGTTGAGATCTAATAAATATTGGCCAATACTGACCTGGTTTGGTGTATGTGTATAAAGAATGACTGTGAGCAGCCTTGATATGATTGTTGGGCAATAGTTTGCTGTTATGCAAATCACACAGATGTTGCACAACCAGGGAGGGGCAATTCTTCAGGTGTCCCAGTGCCTCAGCTGTGGCTCTGCTCGGCTGAGTCCTGCTTGAACAATGCTGTGGAGGCACAACATGGGGGATATGGTGCTCCTTAGTGCCATGTCTTGTTCTGGGTGCAAGGCACCCATCCTGCTCCTTCTCTTTTTTGCATTATTATCACTAAATAACACACAGCTGGTTGAGGTGCTTCTCTCTCTGTCCATCTGCCACCCCTTGTCTCTCCATTCAGTGTTGGTCAGAGCTTGGCAAGGGCACAGAAGTCGTGGCTCTTGCAATGGGACACCATCACCAGGCATAGGTCTGCTCTCAGATAAGCTTGGGGCCAAGTTTTTCATGAAGTTTTAAGTCTAGAGAACTTCATGCTTACAGCCCCAGGGTGCGAGGAGCCCAGGCTGGCTGCAGCTGGGAACACACCCCTTCAGGTCGATGCACTTTGGCTCTGCAGCTCGCTGCTGCTGGGGAGTCTGGCAGTGTGAGGTGTTCAGATGTGGATCAGCACTGGCTGATCCTTAGCCAGGCCCAGATTGCTATTTAATGTGCTCTTAATACTCCCTAAGCTGGTTATAGAGGAAATTCTACTTTAGACGCTACCGAGTGCTCCCTGCCAGTCCTTAGCACAGCTCGTTGTTGTACCAGCTGCAGGAGCATGCAGGATTCCCAAATGAATAGAAAATTATGGTGCATAGCTTTGTTAGGCACATGGGAAGGATTTCCCTCTGCAAAAGCAGAATGTTGTGTTAATTGGAGAAATTATAAAGGGATTAGTAGGGAACGTACCTCTGTGGCAGAAAGGGCAGCAAAGCGGTGTGGGAAAGCGTGGTGGAGTTGTTCTCTGTGGGCACCTGTGGAAGCTCCCTGGGCTGGGGTTCAGGCAAGCCCAGGCTGTCCAGAGCTGGGAGGGGGAAAGCCAAGCCCCCTGGCCATTTACAGTTTTCTCTGTGCCCTCAGGAGTCCATCCCAGGCAGATCAGCCTTTGCAGCTCCTGCACCAAGGAGAGCTGGGACCCGTCAGGCATTGCTGGCTGTGACAAAACCATCAGGTGAGGGGAAGAGCCATCAACCCACCACATGTTTTGACTGAAACCCTGAGGGGACTGATTCAGGGTGGCTTTAAACCACTAAATCCAAGGGGTTTAAGGTGAACAGAAACAGCCTGCTGGGCTATGCTTCCCTCTGGGTGCATAGATGTAGTTTCAGGGATGAAGCAGGTGCTTGGTGACAGTGCTGGGCATGCACTGTGGATCTGGCTGTGGATCCTGGGAAGCAGGACGTCCATCAGCATAAGTGTCAAGGCTGGTGTAAAGTGAAGGACAGGTCCCAGCTCCCAAAAGCATGTGCCTTGAGCCAAAGCTTGCAGTGCTACAGGAGAGGAGGGCAGGCCAGGAGTCTCCCTGTGGCAGCAGGTGTTCCTGCTGGCCAGGCTCGACTCCAAAGCCTTGGCCAAATGTGGCCCAGCATACCCAGCATAGTGTGCATGCATGGATATGAGCTCTGTGGTGCACAGTGGGGACATTTGCTTCCTGGCTGCAGGATTTGAAATTCTTCTGCTCTTTGTTTTCTGGCAGAACGGGAGAATATGTGGATTCTCACATATCTGATATCTCTGATTTATCTCCTTCCTCTGCATGCCTGAAATCATTAAGGACAGAGAAAAGAAAGCCTGAGTGCCAGCAGCACTGAAAGGGCCCTCTATATTACCTTAATTTCCAAAGTGGTTTATGATTTCCAAAATGCTTCTGTCCAAAATTGCCTGAGGACAGAAAGGCTGTAGGGAACATGGAAACAACAACATCACAGACACAGCTTGCTCTTGCTTATACAGGAATGGACAGAATAAAGGCAAGGGGAGCACAGGTTTTCAGCAGGCATGTGAGCACCAGATGGACAAATACCCTGTGAACTCCTAACGTGGATGTGCCTGGCCAAAGCCTTTTACTGATGTGGATTTATGCATGTACAGACTGCATAAACAGAGGGTAAAGGTGAAGTGGCCACAAGTTGCGGTGTTACACAGAAGAGTCAACCTTTCTGAGTGTGCTTTTATTCTTAAGGAGACATGTGGACCTGTGTGAGGCTCAGGAGACAGTAAACTGAAGGTGGAGGAAAGTCTGTTCTCTGCCAGGGCTGTGGATGAAAGCCAATCCTGAAGGCAGGGTTAATTCTAAGGGAAAGAACATAGACGTTTGGGTGTTTTTAGGATCAAGGGATTGTCTTCAAAGCTGGTTGGGCATCTCAGGCTAACCTAAGGTAGGTGGTGTAAATAAAACTAGTGACCTGAAAAATACACCAGGTCTTCACATCTCTGCTTTCTCTTCTGCTGGGCAGCTGGGATGCAGTGACTGGGGAAGGTTGGTGGGGAATGGTGCTGATCCAAGCATATGACACCAGCAATAGAGAAAACCGTGCCAAAGTTGTGCATGTATAGAAATGAGTGGGTTTAGGTACAGGGAATAAATACATGAGCATACACATGTGTCAAAACATCTTCGTAAGGTGCTAAAGCAGCCGTTGATGCAGAATGTATTTATGTGGAAATACATCTTGAGGTAGTAAACACCAGTTTACACTCTTCTCTGTGCATGTGCATGGATGCCTTTCATGGCATAACATGAACATGACTAAAGGGGAGGACTGCTAATCGAGATGAGAAGAGATATGGAAGCACATAAAAGGCAGAGATTACACATTCTTGTACAGCCTTCAAAGATGAATTCGTGCACTGGTATACAAATATGCAGGGTGGGGGGAAGAGATGTACCCAAACACATCAACAGGGAATTATACCCACGGAGAGATGAGCAGTCCCCTTCTCATTTTGGATGTACATTTAATACCTTTGTGATGATAATTAAAGCCCCGTTTGGGTGCTGCATCTTGTGATTTACTGCGGTGTTATAAATCTTTCAGCAATTGGAAATCTGCGGGGAACAAAGGTAGTGCAAAGGTTTGGAAAAGAAACAAAGAGAAGGAGCTGCACCACATTCAGCACAGGGTACCCTGGGCTATCTGGAAAGAGTGGCTGATAGGCAGGGAGAGTAGGAGGTCCCACAGGGCTTTCCAGCCCAGGAGACCAAATGCAGTTGCCAGTGGACCCCAATTCCTCCCACCAAAGTACCTCGCCCGTCTGGCTGGCTGTTACAATCAAGGGGATCTGGGTCAGACTGATCCTCTCCACCCTTTCCAGTGGCTCCATACCCTCCTGAAGAGCTTGAAGATGAGAGGGATGAAGGTGGGCTGGGAAAGCCACATGTGCTGTCGGAAGCTGTGGGTGGAGGTGGGCAGAGAGTAGACAGAAGAGGGGTGGGGATGTTTTTTGGGGCAGAACTGGAGAGGGAAATGGTGCCAGTGAGAGATATGCCTGTGAGTGACAGAAATAGAGCAAAAATAATTAGATGAGATGTGTGAAATGGGCGACTGTGGCAAGAGGCACTGGAATGTAGAATTAAAATGGCAGATGTGGTACAGAATCTTGAAGAAAGAAAGAACCAGAGGTTTGAGGACTGGATGGAGACACAGAGAGGAGGGGGAAAAAAGATGTCACGGGGATATGGAGAAGAAAGACAAGATCTCTCCCTAAAAGGATGGACATATGTAAGAGGCAAGTGGGCCAAGGCCAGTGCACCACAGAGCATCCCTGCTGCAGAGGGAGCACCCAGATCAGGGAGGGCCCTTGAGGAGTGATCTCTTCCCAACCAGTCTGAGCCTCTGACCTACTGGCAGTGGGAGCATTGCAATGGGTGTCTGCAGACGTGCACAAACCACATCTCTTCCCTACCCTCTCCATGACCTTGGCAGGGTGCTCTCGCTCATTGCTTCCAGGAGGTCAGCAGGTTGTGTCAGCAAGGAAAAGTTTGAGGGCTCAGTCTAAAGTAGAGCTTGGCTGCAGCTCGATTGATGGAGGCAGAGTGACCATCATAAGACCTGGATGGTTCCTAAATTTCAAAGACAGGATCTATAGCTCCTTTATGGAAACCACAGCTGGGAGGAATGGGTTTAGGGGCAGGATGGGGCTCATGTGAGAAATTAAAGCAGTGCATGGTGAGCCAGGAAGACCAGTCTGTGCACTGCTGGCCTCCTCCCAAAGGGCTGAGAAGAGACGTCTTGAGGCCTGTTGGCTTCACAAGAGACATGTTGCCCCAATGTCGTACCCCAATGTGGTGCTGCTACCTGAGCCTGCAAAGGAAGTCCCTCAGCAAGAAAGAAGAGATGACCAGGACAATACCTGGGGTGCAGAACTGGTGGACGGTGGCCAAGCTGCCCTGCCACCACAAGGGCAAGGAAAAGGGGAAAGGACAGTGCAGGGATGGGACTGTTGCAGGGATACATGATCTGCCTCTAGCCCAGCCACATCCACCACATCACATGTGCCAACTCAGCCCTTGTCAGACAGACCACTTGCTTATGCCACCTTCTTTGAGGTTTGTTTTGCCACTCAGACACTGAACTGGTTTTCTTCTATTCTTTGGGCAGCTTGTCTGATGTCCAGTTGGTATTTGATGGTAGACTGGCTCTGATAGCAGTCACGGTGGTGACAGCTGTCCTGACTACTTCTGCCAAGAAATCAAAGCTGAAGAATGTGGACGTGGAGGTGTTGGTGGGACTGAGGGGTGGAAAGGCACAACAGACCATCTGCAGAGAGCATGGGGTGGTCTGTGCAGGTGACAGCAAACACCACGATTTGCCCCGTGGAGATGGTGATTTCTGGCTTCCTTTCCAGGATGAGATCATTCCTTGGCTTCCCACCAAGAAATCAGCACTCCCTCCCGCAAACGGTTCAACCCTGCTGAGGGCATCTGTGCTGATTATTGCCGTAGATGAGTCTCCAAGAACGCCGAGGGGCTGATTCTTCAGAGAATCGAAGCCTGGCCACGTGTGGGTGGATGAGAAAGTAAATAAACGGATGAAGAACTTGGTCAATCAATGCCTCCCTGTGCTAGAATCGCTCTTGTCTTCATCAGAGTCAGGAGAAATGGGAGGCACTGGAAATGAGCAACATGAGCAAAACTGGAAATGAGTTAAAGTCAGTGGGAGGTTTTGAAATTTTTTTTTCAATGATCACCTGTGTGATCATCATTTCACCACTTCCAAAGCAGCACGTGGCTTAATTCTGAGTTCTGCAAGGAAGAAAAATTTGTTGCCAGACTACCCTAAATAATCTACAAGAAATCCACCCATCTCTTCTTCAGTAGCTCAGGGTCAAACTAAAAGTACCTAGATAAGAACTGAACCCCGCAGCTAATCCCATTCCTGGGGTGCCTGCAGGACTTGGCTGAAAAGCTGAGGTTCTTCAGTTTGTGCCCGTGTTTTTCAACCTTGCTCCTCTACAGGTCTCTAGGAAGAAATCATAGGCAGGGTTTTGGCAGGAAAATGTCCTGAGAGATCAGTGCCTGCTGTTTCCCAGCGCCTGAGACTGAGAAGAGGAGGGAGAGACTGATGGGGCCAGGAGAATGAAGGCTGATATTCCCCTGTGGGTGAGCAAGGGGCTTGCCAAGGAGGTGGGGAGCAGAGCCTCCTGTTTCGCTCTGGGGTAAGGTTGACTTCCCTCCAGAGAGATGGGGGTAGTGCTGGGGTGGCTACTGGCTGTGGCACGTCTCCGGTGATTTAGATCTGGAGATACGGGAAGGTTTCTCTGGCTCCCGGAAATCCCAACAATGAGAGGCAGAAAATCCCTTCCAGCATTTCCTGGGAAGTCTTACGGGCTCTGGAGAAGACAGGCTGCAAAATGGGCAGGAGAGACGGGTGTCCAACCCCACAGAGCCTGGGGTGCTCAGAGAAGCTCTCCAGCCCTCTGTAGAGAGCAGCCTGGGGGCAGCTGGCTCGGTGGGGTGGGAGGGAGGCAGGGAGAGGGTGTGCAGAGATGAATATGGGGTTTGGTCAGCAACAGGGTTTGAGTGGATGATTCCCAGACAAGGCACCCGCAGGGTTGTCACTCGGGTTAACAAGGCCAGCTCCTGTTCTCTGTGGGACTGGTGGGGATGCTTGTGGGCTGGAGTGGGGCTGGAGTGGGGCTGGGAAGAGCCACAACCACCTGGACTCAGCTTTACTCTGGTGTAACTGACTGGGACGGAAGGAGCTGTGCAAGGATAAGCTGAGCCCAGGGAGAGGCAAGAGAGCAAACAAAACATGGAAGGAGAAGTAGGAACTTGTCAGATAACCCAAGAAACCCTGTTTGTGTGGGGGTGTGCACACGTGTGTGTGAAGCACGGCTCTGCCATGTGGTCTCGGTTCTGTCTGAATGGAAGGGGAAGATCTTTGCTCTCTCACCTGGGAAAAAAGAGGAGACATTTACAAAGAAGCAACTGCAGGGATGCCAAGGCAGGTTCATTCACTCTCTTTGCAGATCCTTTGGCACCCTCATAGAAGGAACCTTTTGCAGCAGGGGGCATGTCTCAACCCCGTCTTGTTTCCTCTGTCCCTGTGCCTGCCAAGCAGAGCCGATCCAATCCCTTACTGGCTCCTCCCTGGGTCCATTCACAAGCCTCCGCAGATGGGGCTGGATCAGGAAGCCAGGTCTCTCCCAGCTTTGGCAGTCCAAGGCTGGCCTTTCCCCAGCAATTCAACCATTCCTTCTCTCCCAAATGGAACGTGCCCCAACACCTTTGCCTTAAACTGAGTTGCATTCAGGAGCCTGGATTTGCCCACACATGTTAAAGGTACGGCTGGAGGCGAAAAGCAGGGAAGCCAACCACAGCTCCAGCATGGAGGAAAAGGGGAGCCCTCAGCAGAGCCCTGAGCTTGGGGCTGTGGAAGAGGGGCTGACTGCTGGAGCAGCAACTTGTACCCTGACATCCCATCACAGCTCCTTTCCAAAGGCGTTTTTCCTCATCTAACGTTTGGCTTTTCAAGCCAGAATTGAGCATCCTCAGGGAGACGAACCATTCAGAGTAGGAGGGCTGGATCTGCCAGGGGGTCACTGCCACGGCACTGCAGCTGCATGGTTGGGGGGGGGTCTGGAGACAGTGGGAGAAGGGATGAACACTGCTGGCTGAGCCCAGCAGTGCTGAGGCTGCGGGGGCTGCTTGGCACTCTCCAGTGTGCTCCTCCCCGAGGGCTTGCCCGTGTGGGCAGCAGCAGGGGCAGGGGTTTGCAGGTGTGAGCTGAGTGGGGAGCACTTTCACCCTTGCCAGTTTTTAGGTAGAGGCAGCCAAGTAGAGGAGGATGGTCTTCTCCTCCCTTCCTCTTTTGCTCTTTGCATATGGAGGGGGATTGTCTTCATGCTCCTTCCTGTCTGTCCTGCATGCCAAGATCTCCAGGGGAAGTGAGTTTCCATGGCTGGGGGTTGAAGTTTGCCGGCACTGGCTGGAAAACATCTGTATGGACAGGCCCTGTGTTATGGTTAACGTGCAAGGGATATGGGCATCTGCCTCTGAAGAGGAGCAAACCTCTGGAGCCCTCCAGATTTCCCCTCTGATTATTCCAGCATGTTTCTTCCTGCCACAGGTAGTTCATCCAATGCCAGCTGCCAGCCTAAGGAGAAGGATGCAAACAAGACATGTTAAGTAGAACACTCCAGCATCCCACTTGGATGAGCAAGCTGTAAAGGAAAAGGAAATTATTCCTGTGGAACAAGGATAAAGGCTCACCAAAAAGGCGGCATGTGGGCAGCACTCAGAGTAGGGAACGGCTCTTTGAAGGGCATGAAAATCTGCACCAGAGTGAAAACCTGGAGCTGGGTCAAAAGTGATGGGGGAATCATCTGATGGTAGATAAGGTGAGGATTTCATTAGACACCGTGACCAGGAGGAAACAACAGGAATCCTACAGGATGAATCCTGCTGCTCAAGCCCAAGCAGACAGGGCATGATTGCAGGTGTGGTTAGAGCAGAAGAGCAGCAGGACTGGGTCAGACCAAAGGTCTGCCTTGACTCATCTCTGCTCTCAATTCAGGGAGAGGGAGCAGAGCAAACAAGTGGTGAGACTTGCCCCAGATATTAACCCAGCTTTCAGTCTCCATCCAGCTCCTGCACTTTTGAGCCGAAGCAGCTCTTCTGAGGACATCAGTGCTGGGGGAAAAAGAGCCTCCAGTTTCCAGGAGGATCCTCATTTCATGGGAGGGAAATGAACCATGTGGCTGGTCAGCAATGGATGCTCAGCCTGGGAGTCCTGTGGTGTTTTTACATTCCTCCTGACAGTGAGAAACCCTGTGACTGTCAAGTACAGCCCCAGCCACCAGGGATTGTCCCGCCGGGCACGGTTGTGGTGCTGTGGCTGCCCTGGGCAGCCACAGACAGTCACCATCACACTGTGGTCAGGCCTGGCCTTGCACACCGAGAATTTCGGCCCCATAGCTGATGGCAGCAAAGTCTCCAAAACCCAGGCAGTAAAGGTGATCAGAGAGGTGTTTGGACAAGAAATAACAAGAGACTTGTATAGTCTCTTGAGTCCAAACGAAGCAGTGATCAAAAGGAAATACGAAATTAAGAAAAATGTAGGGAATGCACATAAAAATGTGTCCTGGGGCGAGTTGTTTCCCAAGAATCAGAGAATCAGAGTTTCTTTGATTAGGAGCATAATACTGAGGCTGACAAAAAATGGGCTTAATTGGGAAATGGCCATGATTTATGTGGTAGGATATGAAATAGAATGTAATGTAACTTCTCAATGGCCAGAAACTGGATAGTCAGTCCATGACACAAATAATTACCTACCATGCAATTATCTTGGCACCAGTGGATCAGACCGAGCCCAGCTCCTGTTAGACTTCAGCATCACTGTGCAGTGAAGTACTTGTCCATCTGTCTGCATCCTCTGTCTGTCTGTCTTAAGGCCACCCAGAGGAATGCCATGTCTGTGGTTCTGTGCCCCATCAAATCTAAGTTAAAACTAGCCAGTAGGTTAAAAATTAGAGGGAATGGTACTGAGACAGATAGACAGAGCTGCAAAACACAAAATCTGGGATCACAAAAGCCTTGTGTCCTTTAGACTAAAATAGGGTCGTGCTCCAGAAGGGTTGGGGGGGGGGCTTGGGCACCTTTGAGTGAGATAGGATGGTGTCATGAATGAGTGGCTCAGGTCACTTAAAGAATCACTGGCAAAAGTATCAGCAAAATCAGGTTTTAATATAAATTTGAGACAGTGTGGCTTAACAGGATTTGATGGCAAGGTCCACTCTATTTATTCCTACATATATAAAGCATAGAAAGGAAAATTGCTCAGAATCATCTTAATATGATTCACATAGAGACCAAGGATAAAAAAACATAAGAGTGACAATGGGAAGACCCTCCCGTTGAGTCACAAGGTTCAGAGTGGAACCCTCTTGCCAAACTCAGCCTCAGATTTGATCAACGGTTTTATGTCTAAAGGATTTGGCAGCATTGATGGGATGGGATGGGATGGGATGGGATGGGATGGGATCGGATGGGATGGCCAAGCGTGGTGGGGACATAGCCCCCAAAGGGACCAGGGCTCTGAGCTGTTCCGCTGCGAAAGGCAGAGCCCTGGACTGCGGGATGCGGGAGCGGGTTCCTCCTCCCGCCCGGTGCCCAGGCGGCCCCGGGACAATGTGCCCGCTCCTCTCCGCTCCGGCAGAGCCTCCTGGCAGCGCCAGGCTCCATCCCCGGAGCCATCGCTCCCCCCGCCGGCCGCTCCGTGCCGCTGCCGCCAGCCGGGGATGGGGATCGGCCGGGGGAGGAGCAGGAGAAGGAGGAACGGGAGGAGGAGTACGCGCCTCTCACAGCTTCGCGGGGCAGAGGGATTCCTGCTTCCCTCCTCCCCTCGTTCCAGGCCGCCTGCGCTGAGATGCGTTACCCGAAGTGTTTTTCCCGGCGTTGTCTCTTCAGCGGAGGTTGGGCGCGATTTTACTGAATTTGTTCATCTTTAAAATGTATAAAAGATGTTAAGACAAAAGAAGGTTCCGCAGTGGATATGGACAGTCGTGGCACTGTGGGACCCTCCCTGTGCCAGACCCATGATGAGATTCCCCGTCAGCAGCAATTCTGGATGTGCTTGAACTGCTGTGAGAGAGATTTACCTGCTAGGAATGATAACTCGATCAACCCCACCATCCTGGGTACCTGAACCTGGGTTAAAGCCTCAGTTACTCAGTTACTGGAGTAGTCCTGGTGATCCTGGCTTGTCACCTTTTTGCATCACCTGTATTTTGAATATTTAAGCCACAAACCTTAATGCAGTATTTATGCCACAGTCTGTTTCTTTTATAAAAGTAAGGGTGAGGAAAACAGACAGGAAAGCACTAATTTCTCCAGGAATCTTGTCTTCCCCATCTTTCCATTCTTCAATGCAGGGCACAGCTCAGTGAGTGACTGCACCAAAATGAACCACCTCTGCCTGCAGAGGCACTGTAGCACTCGGGTCAGACTGTGCTGGTTTTGGACCCAGATCTCTCTGCTATTTTTCTATTTCCTTTTTTTCAGGTTTGCAAACTGTGTCCTCAGTCAGCACTAACCACAGGGAGAATTTCCACTTGGAAATACAGGCGAGTTTCTTTGCTGCTGTGCAGGCAGGAGAAGGCTCAATTTCAGCTGTAACAGGGAAAGGGCTGTTCTGTTCCACCCTTGCTGACTGTCTAGGTCTGAAAGCTCAAAGAGGCCAACTTATTCCTCAAGTCCTGATGTAACCCCATGTATGGCATTTGCCCCAACGCAGTGAAATTCCAGCAACTTGATACTTCAGGCTGTGACCTTTGAGGGGTTAAGGGAGCCCCAGCTGCAACCTCCTGAGCTCACTCTGATGCTCAGTTAAAGCCAGGGAGGCTGCACTTGTGATAGCACTGAGTTGAGTCCTTCAGGCTCTGCCAGACCACTGGGACACGAGTATTGTCCCATGGGATGGGACATCGCCTTAGAGATGGATCCCTTCACCTTCCAGAGGCATGATAACTAACTCTCCAGGTGGAGCCTGGTTTCCTTGAGCTTGCTGGGATTTAGAGCTGACTGCTGCACAAGAGGGGAAGGCAGAGGAGAGGAGGGCTGGAAAGCCTTCCCTTGCACGGGACTAAAGCTGCCTGTGTGTGTCCAGGAGGGCTGGAGCTGGAAGGAATGCAGCTGTGTCTTGGTGTGGGAGTGGAGCAGGAGTTTCTGGCTGAGAGGGAGCGACTGGAAAGCAGGTTTGCACAGGATGGCTGATCTCCTACAGCCCCTTCCTGCCTTCCCGTCCTCTCTTGCCAGCTCTCCTGGCACGGGGGTGGGTCACATCCAGCTGGATCTCGCAGGGGTCATGGGCAGCAGTGTCCCTCTCTGTGTCGGGTCTGCCAGTTCACAGAGGCTGCCCCCACAGCAGGGAGGCATTTGCTGTGTCTCCATCAGGAACCCCCACTTTGGCTAATAGCCCTGGGAAGCAGTTTGGCCGGATGGAACGAACGCTGGTGTTCAAAGCAGGGGTGGAAAACCTTCACCTGGCCCTTCTAGGCACCAGCTTTCCCACCGGGGTCAAACACCTTGGCAATACGCCCGCAAAGTAACTGTCCCCGATGGGACCTGCCCAGGGCTCTGCAGCTGGGAGGGGCCCTGTGGAGGATATGATCTGACAGCTCTGCTGGGAGCACAGCACATCCAGCCAGGGGCTGTCGACAGGGACCTCACAGCTGAGCCAGAGCTCTTGCAACTTGGGATATTTTTAGCCCATGCCAATGGTGGTGTTTATTTTCCAACTGTTGAGCCTTTTCGCCTTTCCCAGGGGTTTTATTGCTGATGAAAGCAAGGGCCTGAGAGCCGTGTGAGTGTCTGTGCTGGCTGCTGCAGTGACCCCGTCTGCCTCCGTTGCTCCAGCTCCATCTGCCCACGTTACCCATCCAATATCCCCCAAGGAGCCGGTTTACAGTGAGGGACTGTGATAAGCAGAAGCACCTCAGCTTCCCTTGGACCAGAGTCTTCCCTGGGGTGGGGATATCTGTGATACAATTTGAACACATGCAGTCCCCCTCACTGGGATGGGATGAAACAGAGGAACATGGCAGGCTCGTTTACTTGTCAGTGTTTTAAATCAGTATTTTTTATTATGGAGACTCATCAGGTTGCTCACACTGTGGCAGGAATTTAATAATATAAGGCACAGGGAACATTCAGAGGTAAAAAAAAAGAGTTCTCAGCCTTTGAGATTTAACCATCCCTTTGGTCCTGTCAGGACCCTTTCTATTAAGCAAAATCCAAATACCTTCTCCCTTCTATCTCACTCATCCCTTAAATCCACAACAGGAAAAAAATATTACAGCCTTTCCCTTGAGCGTGTGGCAAACACGCCTCTTTCTGGGCAGAAACATCCCTTCCAAGACTGACACAGCTTCCCTGGGAGAGCAGGGCTGGAATTTAAGCACAACCAAGGCAGAGAGGTGGGAAGTGCTTGAGGGCACTGTGATTTGGGGAGAGCCAAGAGCTTTATTTCAGCTACAGCAGAATCACATCAAGGTCAGACATGGGCAACCTGGGGGAACAGGCAGTCACACCCCATCTCGCACAGAAAACACGACAGCAGTGTGGTCATTGAGTGATGGTAAAGCATGTAGCACTTTCAAACCTTTATTTTTCGAGGGGATTTTACAAGATGGGATGCATTTTATCATCTTGTTTTAAATTTTGTGCGCCTCCCTATTTGCTAATTTGATTAGCCTTTTTTTTTTTTTTTGGTGCCCAATAATTACTAAATTCAAGCCCTGGGAATGTCAGAAGAAAAAAAAGGAAAACAAAATCCTGCCGCTCTTTATCCTTCTCACCCTTCTCCATCCTCCCTACCATGAGCTGGGTGGCCACAGTGTCACCTGCAGCTGCTCTGCTTGAGAACCCAATCCTCCTACATCGTCTGGCTCTGCCTTCCCTCACAGGCATCTGTAACTGGGGCGGTGCATCAGCTGAGAGGGCTTTGCATCTGCGCTGACGTGTCCAGGAACGTGCTGTTAGTGAGAAGTTAAAGAGAAGTCGATCCGAGAGTGGATACCGAGACAGGATATTTGGGACAGGAACAGTCGGTCAATGGTACAGGCACGTCGGAGAGAGAAAAGGCTGGTAAGAGTGTGTGGAAACAGCTGAGTGAGTAATCTAGTGGTGATAGATAAGGCTATGAATGAGGACTGTTATTTCTCTTAGCACCATTACTACATATGTTTAGATCTATATTAGCACCTTGTTCCCAGGGAAAAAGAAAACAAAAGCAATTTAAAAACCAAAGGAAGTGGGAAGGTTAAAACAAGACAAAGTTGGCAGCAGAGCAGGAAGCTGGGGCGTTTAGATCACAAGATCCTTGTCTATGTCCTCTGTGGAAGGAAAAGAGAGAGACGAGGTTAGGAGGCGGATGCTGCCAGGGTCCCACTGCTCCTGCAATCCACCCTCCCCACTCTCCCCTGCTTTGCCTCACCCAGCACCAGCTGAAATGCACTGCTCCATCCACAGTGGGGGCTCTGGGGGTGCTTTTTAGTGTCCCCTGCACCCCCATTCCTGCCCTCCCGAGTACTTACGCTCCTTAATGCCGAAGCAGCTGGCCCACTCCTCCAGGGCGATGTACTTGTCGTTGTCCAGGTCGCAAGCCTCGAAGAAGCGGGTGGTGCAGTGCTCCATGGGGATGAGGGGGGCACGGAGCGGGGCCAGCTCGGTGTGGGACAGGTACCTGCCAAGGTGGCCACATGGTCACAGGAGGGGAGATGCTGGCCCCAGCTCTGTGGGTTGACTGGTCCCAGTGCCCTCCCAGTATCAGCCACTGAGTGTCATGGAGGTCAAGGACTGGTGTCTGCCTTTGCAACTGGCTGTGCTGGCCACAAAATAGTAGCTGGTGGTCCTTGCCAGCTGCCCTCACCCCACGGGTCTGTGATCACTCTCGTGCCCTTCTCCATCTCACAGCTAAGCCAGCAGCTGCTATCTCAGCTGCTGAAGTTATCCCGGGGCCTTTGGACTAAGATATTTTAGGGAACTATCACACGACAGTAAATCTGAGAAGATAGAAACTCCACACCCAAGGGAGATGGGAGCAGGTGAGGCTGGGGAGGCCACTCTTCCTGCAGAAGAGCTGTTTGCAGGAGGCAAACCTACCTCTATCCCAGCCTGGTTTGCCACAACCCCTGACAGATGTACTTGTGCCGCCAGCCACCCACTTGTGTCACATCTCCAGCCTGCTTTGACACCTTCTGCTGCCAAATCATCCTGGTCCTTGTGTGGGAAAGGGTTCTGGTGGGGTCTGCATCCTGCTGACACTCACCCATCGATGGGGTGCTGGTCCAGCTGCCCAAACTGCCAGTGCACGGGGAAGATGTACATGTTGTAGTTCTTCTCAAAGTCACGGGCCAGCAGCTCCACGGTGTGGTCACCAGCTTCCAGACGCTTCTCATTCTCATGGATCTTCTTCACCTGCCATGGGAGAGGCCAGGGAGCCCTTGTCAGCAGGGGAATGGGGTGGAAGGGGGGACCCCAGGAGGGGCTTTAAATGGGGTGCCCACAGGTCATTCTGGACAGGCTCCCCACTTGTGCTGGGCTCTGTTGGTGGGGTGAGCTCCCAGGCTCTGTCCCCAGTCCCTCACCTTGAGCTTCTGCTTCTCGGTCAGCAGGTTGTTGTCCTCATCACGCTCGTACAGGGTGATCAGCACGTTCTTGAGCCAGTCCCGCATGCGCAGGGGGAACTCAGTCAGCTCTGTGTCCAGGCAGGCAGGGATGACTGGAAGTCATACACAGTGGTCAGTGCAGCATCTGGACATGCAGCCCCAGACACACAGCCCCAGTGCCCTCCAACCTCAGTCCTGAGCCTGCCTGGACCTTTGCTCTCCCTCACACTGTGGGCACAGGGGCTGTGCTCAGGTCAGGGGTCCCCTTGTTTGAGGGAGTGGCTCCACTTACATTTGCAAGGCCCAATGTAGTCCAGGTGCAGCTTGTGACCCTTCTTGGTTCCCTCCAAGGTGCACTTGGTGGCAAAGAAATGGCAGGAGGAGTCGTAGGTCTTGTTGTCGGTGCCGCAGACCTGCACAGGGTGGGGAGATGCTGCGTGAGCGGCAGCAAAGCCCAGATTTGCTGGGGAGTCTCCAGGGAGAGCCTCCAAACAAGATGTTTAACTTGTTCCCTGGGGTGGACAATAGCTGCTGGATCACCAGCCGAGGCCAGATGGGGACCTGCCACCCTGATTCTGTCTCCCCACCATCCCTGGCAATGCCCACGTGGGGTTCCCTCCCCACTCGGGGCCACCAAGCAGCTCCTGCCCTCACCTTCTCGAAGACACCAGCGGTGGCTGGGCAGCTGGAGGGGTCCTGGCACACACACATGGGCTGGTTGTTGTCATCCACCTCACACACCTTGCCGTGCTTGCAGTGGTGGTTCTGGCAGGGGTCTGGGAGCAGGAGGGGAGCAAAGTCAGAGCCAGCCCCATCCTCACCTCCCACGAGCTGCCCAGGGCATCTCAGCACAGAGGGAAGACAGGGACTTCAGCAGGGACAGCCCCAAGCATCTATTCTTGCACTGGAGAGATGTGAGCATCTCCAGAAATCCATGTTAGTCCTCAGGCTAATCCTGGACTCCTTTCTGTAGCCACCCAATGCAATGGCTTTTCTGTTGCAGAAACAGGCTTACAGAGAGCCCAGTGCTGGAAGAGGCCATGTGCCTCTTTTGCTTTAAAGTGTGCATCTAGTCTGCTGTCGTCCTTGTGCTATAGCCCTTCCCAAAGGAACCCCTCACTGTTTGGGGTGGCTAAAGCTCCCCCATGCAGGGGGAGGATGATGTCTCTGCCAGCCAGAGGGCAGGGGAAGGGTGACTTACTCTCTGCAACAATCTCCTCTACATCCTCTGTGGGTTCCTCGAACTCTCCCACCTCCACCTGGACGGGATTAGCCCCCACAGGCTCCTGCAAAAAAGGTTGGTGTTTCTGGTGTTGTTGTATATAGATCACAGCTCCTGGTGGGGGAGAGCAGCCTGCCCACTGCTTTGGAAATGCTCTTCCCAGAGCAGTGGGTGCTGCAGGGGAGGAGGAGGAGGAGCAAAGTCACCTACCTCTGTGGTGGGATCTTCAATGACCTCTGTCTCATCGGGCAGAGCCTCCTGCTGCAGGGGAAAAGGACCATGAGTGGGGGACCATGGGGAGGATGCTCCCAAGGGGGAATAAGGCCATCCTCAGGTTGCCCCCCATCCCTTAGTACTGTATTTGTTACAAAAGAAAATCCCCATCAGCTACTTCAGATGGACAACCCCGACAGCAGAGGCTCTGCTGTCTCATGCACTTACCGGAGCTGACAGGGCTTTGCCTGCCAGGCAAATAAGGAAAAAAATCCAGGCCCTCATCTTTCAGAAGACCCTGAATAAAGAAGAGGAAAAGCAGGGATGAGGAAGGAGGCCATTGTGTGCCTCTCAGCTGCAGGCTGAGCAGTCAGACACTTAGAGAAGGGTGTTCTCTTCATTTCCTGCCTCGTCTGTTCAATATTATAGACCCACATGCTGTCTTTTCTAGCCAAAACCTTAAGCCAAATCATGTTTCCAAGATAAATTCTTTTGATTTTGCAACATGAGACAGTGGGGTTTAGATGTCTGTTACTCTCCTGGATGCCTTTAGAAAAATCACAGTCAAAATGGCAGTTCCTCTTTCCTTCTCAGGAGGTTTTTTTACCAAACCCCTAGATTTTTCATGTTAAAAATCTCCTGATTTGAGTCCTAGCTAAAAGCAAGGAAAAATGAAAGTGGAGGATGAAGGAGAGACAGTGACATGGGGCACTTGAGAATTAAATCCCTTAGAAAGGCCCTTCCCACATGGACACAGTCGTCCCTAGGGGTATGACGGGCTAGTCCTCCATCCTCGGCATCCCCAAATGCTGGGATCTCTACTATAGCTTTTCCCTTTCCTGCTCAGACTTGAGGGTCCCCAGACTAGGTTTGAGGGATCCCAGACACTTTGGGGTTGTGTCCTGCCAGGAGACAAGCTCCAGAAGGATAAGCCTTTTGCACCCTCCCAGTCTGGGCTGTTGCAGGGATCCTGTAGGACGAGGGAGCCGGGCAGCCCAGCTAACACTGGCTGTGATGTGAACCAGGAGGAGAGTGCAGCTGGTGAAATCACTCCGTCCTTGTCCCCCCCGGTTCCTGTTTGGCAGGGATGAGCCCCTCTGTGTGAGGGCAGAGAGGAGCTCAGCTGGCTGCTTAGTATGCCAGTGGCATCCCACTCCTGACAGCGAGGGTTGTCTCCTGCCAGTGAGGGGACTTGTCCCCCTGCCAACTCTTCCGCTGCCTCCCTTCCGCTTGCCCTCGTCCACTCCACCTGTGTGGCCATCACAGCCCACCAGCTCCCTGGGGCCAGGCAAAGGGATGGATCTGCTGGGACAGAAAGCGTTGGACAAGGTTTCTTCGTATCTCCCAGGATATCTAATTTGCCAGTGCATCCTTTCCCTTCCTCCCTGTGCACAGCAGCTCTCTGGGTATAAAGCCACACCAAGGCTGTGCTATCAGGCTGGGCTCTGCTTCCTTGCTTAGCAAGGTTTGGCCACGCAGGGAAAATCCTCTTTCCAATCTCAGTACCTCACCCAGCCTCCAGTGGGGTGTTTGTGCAAAATAGAGGTCATGGCAGGGAGGGCAGCTTTCCTGGGATGTCAGAGGACTGGGAGCACAGGGTGATGGGGATGTCTGCTGTGGTGGGATAAAGGATCTGTGTCAGAGGAGTTGTGGGTAGGGGGTGCTGAGACCGTTTGCACTGTCAAGGCTGCAGCTGAAAAGCTCCCTCCTGTCCTCCTTGGTACAAGCTGTCCCTTCCCCTTGCCTTTATTTGCTCTGGATGCTACCGAGAGTTCTGCCAGCATCTGCCAGGAGAGATCAGTGGTTCTGATCTTCACTCCTGGAAGGGTTGCATGGGGAGGGGAGGTGGAAAAGTACTGGTGATTCTGGCCATCTCCTCCCTTGCTCCCATTCCCTGGCTTGTAAAGGCTCCTCCTGGGCTTCTCCCAAGGGGCTTGTTTGCTTTGGAAGGTGCTCTGAGGTTCAGTGATGCTCACTGGGCAGAAACATGGCAGTGCCCAGCCTGGAGGAGAGGGCAGGGCATGTACATGTGGAAGATGGCATTAAGAAGAACCCAGCCCCAGACCAAGGCCATCTTAGATCATTTCCCAAGCCTCGAAAAAGCCTTGAATTTCAAAGTCTGGGCATGCAAGTAAGCTGGGGTCAGGGAATTACATGCTTGCTAGAAGCCAGCAGACAGTCAGAGCTGCCAGTGTTGTGTTTGGAGGAAGAAGGAGCACGAAAAAGTCTGAGCAAACAAGCTCTGCAGAGCTGTCTTGTGCCATAGATGGAAAGCAAGTTTATTTGAAAAACAACATCCTTCTGGAGGCAGAGCTGGGAGGACATTGCAGTCCCTGTGAGCCCCTGACTGGATTGCAAAGGCATGGTCATTCCTAAATGCCTGGTGGTCAAAAATCCTGAAATAACAGCTCGGGAGCCCTGCACACAGAGCTGCTCCATCAGAAGAGCATGATCCATGGTGCAAGTCTCCCTCCTTGTGGAGCAACCATGGTTCTGCTGTCCAAGAGGATGCTCTTTGGAGCTGGCAGCTGGGACACACCATGAGCTCAGCATCCATCCCATAGCTGGAGGGACTTTGGGAGGATCCCTGTGAGGGGCCCTGCACTGGGAATGCCTGGCACTGCAGGGGCAGCACAGGGAGGGGCAGCCAGGGGATCATTTTGGACAGAGGAAGACAGGACTGGGAAAGAGATTTTAGCAAGCAGGGACTTATGCCCTTCTGTATCCTAAAGGAATCAATAGATGCCAGCACTTTACAAGACACTGGAAACCAGCACATCATGGGCACAGACAGGGCTGCTGAATATAAAGTAAGAGAAGCTCCATATGCTCACCAGTCCCTCCTCAGGCCTCACCTCCTGACTGCTGTGGATGGAGAAGACAACAAAGCACCCATGGGCTGCAGGACCCATGGGTGGCACTGCCTTTCTAAGGCTTGACCCCATTTGCATCCTACACAGGGACTTCAGCTCCCAGTTGCTCTATAAACGGAGTCTGGGGGCTCCCATGAACCCTTCTCAATGGTTCACCTTTCCAGCATGGCCCAGGCTATTCCTCAGTGCCAGCTGCCCCTTACATTTTGCAGCCACGCCAATAACAAGGGAGCCACGGAGTGTAGGGAGGGCTGAGGCTGACCCTCAGCACCTCCATAAGCTAAAAGCAGGCTGCTCTGGGAAACTCTTTACCATCCTCCCCCCAAGTCCCATCACAAGTTTCTATTGATGGGGAAAGTACCCCGCAGTGATACACAGAGGAGAGTCTGTGCCTCTGGGGTCTGCAGGTCTCTCCTGTCTCCTCCCACCCAGCCCGGGGACCTCTGTGGGTTGGGGGAGGACACGGACCAGGCGGGTGCAGCCTCCGGAAGAGGCTCCGTGGATGGAGGAGCGTGGCCCATGTGGCGCTGGCCCTGTCCAGGGTTGCATAAGCCCTTTGGGATGCCACGTTAGCGTGGGGAGGAGTTCCTGCCTGGCCACTTTGACAGCTCCTCCCCGAGGCCACCGGGCTAACCCCAGCTGCCACCCCTGCTAACCCAGTCCAGGGGCTCCGCTGCCACCTCCCATTGCAGCCACGGAGAGCAGGAGTGGGCAAAACCCTCCCGTGCCTCAGCTCCCCACCGGCACCCCAGCCCGGCCATGCAGGAGGCACCACCCGAGCACCAGTGCCTCCTGCACCCACCCTCCCTCTGCTCACTGCTTTTCAAGGCTCTGCAGGTCTGACGTGCCCCCACCTCACACGGAGTGTAAAGGCAAAACTGACCCAGAAAAAGGTTCTGCTAAACCCCACTGGGGCCACAGTTTTCAAGGTGCTGATGGGTGACCAAGTGTGACCCTCACAGAGACACAACGCAAGGGCTGAACCTCCCTGACCTCCCTATGCAAGCAAGACCCTCTGAGCTTCACCCAGCAGCCACTCCCAGGCTAAAATTCCATTTGAAGTCAGAGTTGTTTGCTCGAGTCCCCATAAAGCTCCTGGCTGAACAGGTCCCTGCATGTCAGTACCAGCTCACCCAGATGTGCTGCAGCTGCCCTGGGGAGCAGGGCAGAGGACTGGGCAGAAGCCACTCTGGCTCCTGCCACCTGCCCAGACCCCTGGCACACAGTGTGCAGGCTCAGAAAACCAAACAAGATTTATATGGAAGTGAAATTCCATTTAGCTCAGGCACACACATATGCTACAAGTAAAACACGGGAGGGAAAATTCTATCTGCCCCATCTGCCTGTGCAGTCACTAAAGACATGTCTACACAATGCTGCATGAACCCATTTCCCGTGCAAGGAGCTGAGCAGCTCTGATTGCACTGAAAAATGCTCCAGGTCTTACAGGGCTTATTGATACAAAGGCAAGAGCCCGATCCCATTACAGCTGTGTGCTGGAAGCTGTCATGGTTTGTCCAGGTTACAGATCGCATCCATAATTTGAAACAATTAAATTAATAACAAGAACAGTGCATGGATGAGCCCTGGGCTGCAGGCAGCGGCTCACTGATGAGCCCTGGGCAGACACGGGAGATGGAATTTTGCTGTCCTGCCTGAGCTTTTTCTTTTGTGTGGATTGGACGTAGAGCAGCGCCAAAACCAGCCCTGATACTGCCGTGCCAGGGGCAGGCGGTCCCTCCGGCTCTCGGGGGATGCAGCCAACTGATCTCGCACGGCTCCACAAAGGAGGACGAGAATAAGCTGCCCGATAAATACTCTCAAAAATGCAAACCATCTCCAAAGCATTCCCTGGACTCGCCCTGCCTGCAGCCGCTCCAGCGATAACAGCCCCGACATCCCTCCGACCAGAGGACCCAGAAAAGGTTTCCATGGGAGCCGACATTCCTCTGGGGCTGAGTCATGGAAGAGCAGAGGGTTGTGGAAGGAGGGGCTTGAAAAAAAAGTTTGAAAAGTTTATTTCTGCTCTTCCCCCTCCCAACACCGCCCGCATCCCTGCTCCTGCCTATGTGGCAAACAATGGCTTGGCTTTAGTTACTGCGCAGGACGCAACAGCCTTTCATTTCCACTTAAAACTCGCCTGATCCACCCTAACAAAGGGCTGCAATTAACTTTTGTCCTTTTGGAGGGTTGCTGAGTTTTTGGGCTGTTTCGAGTTGGTGGTCTCTGAGGACTCGGAGTACTGGCGACTTTCCCGGTGTCCCCAGTTTCACTCCAACTTGAACCTCTTGCCTTTCGGTTTGGGTGGGAATTCAACCCCTATCCTGCTAAGTTTTCTCTTTTTTTGGCTGGATGCAACAGAATGGAGCTTTCTTAGAGAAGGGACACAAAGAGCAGAGTTATACTGCCACACAGGTCACGTCACCGGGATGGGAAGGACAGCAGCTGCCTTTAAAGGAAACAAGCCTCGGCTCTTCTGCGTGGACTTAAAATTGTGCCTGACTGAGCCCAAGTTCTTAAAACTTAAAAAAAAAAAAAAACACTCCAAAAGAGCTTTGTTCCTCCTCTCCTGCAACCTCCGTCTCTCTAACAGTCGATCAGCCAGAGTTCAGCCAGGGCAGCAGGACTTGAAAGAGTTTCAAAGTTTGCTGGGAACAAAAAGCCGAGTGTCTTTTTTTTTTTTTTAGGAGAAATAAGAGCGGCTGTACTGAAAAAATAAAAAACGCTGAGATGAAGTCGACAACTCTTTTGTTCTTCCTCTAGATACTCTGGTGAGTAAAACATCACCTGCCAACACACCTCAGGCTGGGAGTAGTGGGGACTGGTTTGTAACTAGATCTGATTTTCTCTGCAGGTTGGTTTGATGTGCTCAGACCTTGGTCACACATCTCGCTAAGGAACTACCTCCCAGCTGAAAACCCAGAGGGGAAAAAAGGAAGGAGAGAGAAAAATGAGGGCAGATTAAACCTTTACAGTCAGATGCCACCAAAGTGTTAAGCTCGTCATCTGGCAGTGAAATAGAGCAAGAGACAGTTTAGGAGCGGAGATGCTGCAAAGAGAAGTCAGGAGTGGTCTCTAAGTGCACCACTTGGGGTGGGGAGCATCCACCTCCCCATCCCGAGTGACGCATTGCCGAGCCCTGGACACACTCCACGGGCTGGGAGAGTGGGTCCCGGGCCAGGGACCGCCACGAGTGGGGCTATGGGGACCCCTATATCAGGGGAAAGAGGCACAGCAAAGGCAAACACGAAGCTCGGGCCATACCTCGCAGTCCGGGCAGCACGGCTGAGGAAACTTCAGGCGCTTGGACAGGCTGGAGGAATCTGCAGGTTTTAGAAGGAGGCAGGAGGAAGCCAAAGGGTGGGCTGGGTTTCCCGCTGCCTCTCCTCCTCCTCCTCCTCCTTGCTATCTTTCCAAATCGGTCTCTTCCTCCCCCCCTCGCCCCAGTGGGCAGTCCCACCCGGCTGAGGCACAGCCTGGGTCCTAAGGATAGACCAGAGAAATCAAGCAGGGGCTGGAGATCAAGGGGGTCTCTCGCAGGGGCAGATCAGCCCCCAGCGCAGCCTTCCCAGCGGAGTCACTGTCACAGCTGCCTGCACTGCTGCAACGAGTTTGTCAGTTCTCTCTCTCTCGGACTGACAGCACGGGGGGCGGGCAGAATGCCATCTCTCTGCTTGGTTTGTGCACCTCCTAACACCTTAACCTGCTGCCATTAAAAAGTGAAATGCTGTCATTTCTCAAGAGTAGTTCAGTCCCTGACCTGGTGTTTCCCATCCTCAGGGGGATGAAGAAGAAGGCAGGAGAGTTCTTGCTCCTCCATTCTATCTCCTAACACTGCTGCCATCTGGGACTGCCTTGTGGAGAGGGAGAGGAACGAATGATCCAGAGAATGTGGGGAATTATGACAGATCTGAATTATGCTCTAAGTAGGCAGAGAAATGCTGCGCTGGTAGATGTGACGCTCAGCAAACTGGTCTCTCTGCTGTGGTTATCAGCCAGCAGATCTGGACTGACTGAACAAAACCCACAGTCAGAATTGTTGGTCAGCTGAATCTGTTGGTCTCTTCAGACATCACTAAGTATTTTGACCTTACAGATCATAACTCAGCTGGAGCAGCTGCCCAGCCAGAGGCAGCCAGGCAGCAAAACTGCTTGGAGTTGGCTTTTCCCATCTGTTCCTCTCTATGCTTAGGGTGAAAACCCAGCTCCTCTCTCCATGACTGTGAGGATTTAAGGTTCATCTGCTCCCCTGGCAGGAGCAGACCACGCGCCTTTCCACACCAGCACGGCCATGGCGCTGCACCGCAAGGGAAAACCAGCAGACAAAAACTGCTGGAATTTGGGCATCCCTGAAGAGTATCTCCATGCCATAAAGGGCTGTCCTGAGCCCTGTGGATAATTCAGCTTTTTTCAGCTTGTGATCCTTCTGTGGCACCAACCCTCACCCCAGGGCTGCTCTCCAGGGGCTGCTGGAAAGGTTGTGGCTCATGTAGCCAGCACGACTGAGGACAAGCCATCTGGGCACCAGCAGCCTGATTATGGATGCTGGGTGAAGGACACCCAACACCACAGCAAAATGCAACATCATGTTTTGTCTTGGCTGACTGGGCTTTGGGCGCATTCCTTGTGATTACAAACTATCTTTGAGATGGGCTGAGACATGGATCTGGGTCCTTAACTCTTCCCACTGATGTTGCTGAGGATTTAGATGTCAACACAGGAACTGGCCTATGACAACCCCCTGGGCTGTGCTGGCTCCTTGCTCTGTAGGATGCCTTTGTGGTCTGTGATTCTGTATCAGCTCACTCCCCATCCGGCCTCGCGGCACTTCTGCTGCATGTGAAAGATCAGATGTAAGACTAAACATCCCATGGCCAACAAGAAACAAAAAGTAAACAGAACAGAAAGGGAAAGGGGAGGGAAGTGTAGGGAAGGGGGGCCATGAGAACCCGTCATCACTTCCCAGTGAGCCGGTCGGTCTCTGTGATCAGGCAGCTCAGGAGGCTGCTGGCAAAGAACAAGAGAAGAAAATCTTCTTCACCCATTTCTTTACTCGGCTACACACCTCTCAAAAGCCATCCCTGGGTGCTGATATGTGGATATTGATATCACTCACAGGAACATCCATAAATTCTTCACACAACCCTCTCGGGTCCATGTGGGGGCCAGATTTGGGATGGTGTCTAAGACCCCATGTGTCCTTCTAATACAACCAACCACCTGTGGAATCTGGAGCATCTTCTCCCACCACAAGTGTCCGTAGCTCCCAGGTGCAGCCCAGTGCTCCCAGCAGTGTAGGCCCAGTTTGGCTCCAGAGGCCATACATCCCCTAAGCCAAAGTATCATTTGTTTGATTCATATCCCAGGAGTTGAATGCTGTCGTTGAATGCTCTCTGCAGTGGATTAGTCACGGCTCGCATTGAAATTGTACAGCTGTTGGTTCTTCTCCTAAGGAAAAAAAAAAAAAGACATCTGGAAAAAATTTTAGGGAGAAAAAAAAAAGAAGAGAAAAGAAACCACGACTTTTCTAACTGACAACGTGGCAATTGCTTAGTGCTCTGCACTGTGGGCCTGAAGCTAAGCCCTCTACTAAGGGCTTAGACAAATGATAGTGCCAGGGAGATAATTATAACAGGGATTTCTTTATATATGTGGTGGGTTAGACCCACTGGTTTTGAGTGAAAGCAGAAAGCAGTGATGCAGTCACATCTGTAAACATACCCCAGGCTCATGATCTCACCCACCCCAGGCTCGTGCTTGTGAGCCTGGGGTGGGTGACAGTGAGGGGACCTCACAGTCCTCTGCACACACGGTGGGGACAGCCAGGTCTTGCATCTTGTGAGGGACACACTGCCAGGCATCAGCAGTGGGATGGAGGGGGATCACACAGGGGGGGAAACAAGAGCCTGGAGCAACTCCCTGACTCTTTAGGCTCAGCAGCTTTAAAAAGCTCCACAAATGACTGAGAGCTTGCAAAGGAAGTCCTGGAAAGTCCTTTCCACTCTTGTACAGCCTGGTACAACTCAGTACAGTTTAGTACAACTCATCAAAGAGGACATTTTGGTCAAGCTGCCAGGAGGAAAACTGGACCTCACACATGTTTAGAAGGTTGTCTTTGCCATCTGGGGCACTGGATGGGCAGGAAATTGCCTGAGGGGCCTCATCAGCCCTGGGAGACCTCACAGAGCAGCAGCCTCACAGGTCCAGGTCGGGCTCCCTGACCAGGTGCCAGCAGGGCACCCCCCTGGATGCACCCCAGGACTCCCAGCACTCGCTCCCAGCTCAGGTGACTGCACAAACTCCGATGGAAACAGCAAACAGGGTACGACCCTTTGTGGCTTGAGCTCATTTTACAGCAAAGCCAAGAGGTCTGCAGGGATGAGGTTTGAACTCCAGCTAACCCTAGTTCAAAATCCAAATTTCTTCATCCCATTTTAAGCCAGGTTGGGCAGATCTGGGCTGTCACAGTTGAGAAAACCCCAGTGCTCTCCAAGAGGGGAACAAGTCTGCTGTAAGAAATGAAGAAAAATGTGAGTGAGCATTGGTTGGAGAGATACAAGTGTGGATTAATAATCCTGCTGTGTCCTGCTCACAAATCTTTCCTTCTCTCTGCTTTGGGAGGGATTCCCTAATGAGTTTTTCTCTAGAGGATGTTTCTGCATTAATTGCTGCAAAACAATGAGCCCGGAGTGCACATAAATAAACAGGATGCCCTGGAACCACTGCGGGAATGTAATCTACTAAGTCTTCATCCCTGAGTGTGCGGCTGGAGGCTAAGCTCCTCACACCTGCGGGGCAGTGTGTGGAAAGGCAATGGCTGCTGGTGTGGGAGCCCAGCACCCAGCTCAGGAAAAGTCAAGAAAGACCAGTACGAGCAGAGCAGACAGGAATCTGCCTATCCCAGGAATGTCCCAGCTCTCCTGCTCTCTGGGAATGTGTCAGCAGGTTCTGCTGGAGGGTTTCTGGTTTTTTCCATTTCAGAAGCAGATTAGAAGCAAAAGGGCTGTGCTCTCTAGGCTCACACTAAGCAGATCCATGGCCACTGGAAGAACAATCTGCACAGGGCAGGACGAACTCAAACTGTCCTGGGAATGTGCCCAGGAGTGGCTGCCTGTCCTGTGTGGGGTAAGGCATTCTTCCCAGTGGGATGGGACTCTCCCCTGGGCTCAGCAGTAGGACTGATTCCTGGTTCAGATGGAGCAGACTGACACCCAGCCAAGGTCTCTTCCAATTCCTGGACCAGGAGATCCTGAGCCTCGGTGTGCTGCTGATGGACAGGGGCTGAGCTGGCTCATGGGGTGATGCAGGCAAGTGGAGTGCTGGCTCTGTCAGAAGCAGATGGAGAAGGAGCAGTGGATGTCTTTGCAGATCCTCTGTAAGCCGGAGGCCAGCAGGGCAGGGGGTGGGAAGCCAGCTGTGCATGGCTCTGCAGTGAGTCACAGCCTGGGAGCAGGCTGTGGAGCTAGAAAGCAGGACACACTGCGGGATGTCTTGTTCTTTCCATGGTGCGTGTGGGCTCTCACAGCTGCCCCAGGGGGCTCTGGTGGAAGGCATTTCCATGCCCCATGGGAAGGATCTCTACCTCTTTCAAACTGCCCCTGCAATTATCATCTCACTCGCTTGGAGATGTGTGGGGCTGCAGGCTTGGGAGGAGCCTGTTTGTCCTCCCTGAAACCAAACTGAGCCCAAAGAAACAGGGGGGGGGAATCCATCACTGTCCTCAGCTGTGGTGCAAGTAGGGAGCTCTGTGTACTGGAGCTGGCCCTACACTGCCCTCTGTGCTGCTCATGGCCATCAGATCTGAACATCACAGCTGTGCCTGTCCCCAGCTACACCCAGCATGAGTGGTAGATATTGACCCCTCTGGCTGGAGCCTCCCCCCCACGTCCCTGTGGCGGAGTCCCCACAGCCCTGCCTGGAGTCATCACACCAGGCACCAGCAGACAGGACAGATCTTCAGCCCATTTGAAGCTCCCATGCACAGTCTGGGCACATCCAGCCTGGCTGAGCTTGGTCCCAGTCCAACACTTACAGTATCCAAAGAAACTCATTGCCTGTCCTGAAAGGATTCTCCCTCACTGCTGGGGGCTGTTCTCTATCAGTCCTGAACACAGGGATGTTGTGTGCCTGACTCTGCTTTTGCTTGAGAACTTGTGCCAGAGATGTGCCTGTGACTTGCACAAGGTGCAATAAAACTTCCAAGGGAGAAGTGCAGCAGAAGCTGTGAACTCCAGGCAGTCCCACCTTGCTCCTGGTGTTTACCTACGATGCACTTTTGAGTCCTCTTGGGCCTGACAGATGCGGTTTGGCAGCTTTTGAAGGATATGAATAAAACTGCTTGAGGAAATAAACAGGAATCCACTTTTGAGCCCCTGGGACATGTGGGGAGAGAG